TTAGTGCAAAAGATAAATAGCAAAGTTAGTTCTAGACATGTAGGCAGTGAGTCATTTCCTTAATGTAAGCAGAGTAATCAATATAACAGCAGTGTAATCACCTGACTATCCATCATGACACCCAAAATATAAGTACAAGAAGGAGGAAGCGATTCAATTAAAATTCTCTTTGGAAAGAGTGAGGTGAAAAATTAAATTCCATTCTCTTATTACTAGTATTGTTTTCAAAAGCTGTGGGGCTGACTTTGTGAAGTGCTGAACTCCATCACCACCCTTGGCTGAGGGTGCCCAGCAGCTTGCAGTTTTTTGAGCTTGCTCCAAAACTGAATGAAGTCAGGGAAAAGACTGTTGACGTCAGTGGGTTTTGGATCAAGATCTGAAAACATAAACTTATCAAACATGTTTGCAATTCAATAAATTGCAAAGTGCAGCCTTGACATAATGATTTGCATTGGTTTATTGTGCAGTTAAAAGAAAGCCATGTTGTTTATTTCATTTCTACATGCTTCCACCATCAGGTTGTTGAATCTCTCTCTCTTTCTCTCTCTTTCTCTCTCTCTCTCCAGCTATAGCTATATCTAGGCTTTGTATATATACACCATAAGGTATTGAGGTGGTTGAAGATGGGACTATTGTTAAAATACATAATGTCTTTGATCTACAAGGCATCTCCTGTAATTTCGATGGATCTTCTACAAAAATGAGCAAAAATTAAACAGATTAGTTTATATGGTTATAAAACTTACAGAAAGAGAAGTAATATTGCAGTCAGTCGTGACTGGATTGGAAAATAGTGCTCCAATCCAGATCATTAGCCAAGGGATTTTCATGTTCAAAATCTAGAAGAGAGAATATTTTTGCATGTTAGGGCCAAAATTTAAGTTGCTGTATTAGTAGTTTAAAGGCATGCTCCTGGTGAAGATGGTTTTAGTAATGTAAACAAAAGTGTTGATTTATAGTTGAAACAAATGATTCATCATAACTTACTGTGTTTTTGTCTTACGTAAATATTGCCAAGAGCCTAAATAAGACTCTAATTGGAGAGAAAGATGTGTTTTAGCCAAAATAGCTGCAGCTTTTATTGAACTGAGCCAAACCTGAAACCAACCAGGCAGCTTTTGTGCAATCGATCAGTATATGTGGTGACCAGCACAGTCAACTCATAAGCTGTCTATTATTCGTGTCATAGGATAGCCCCCTATGCACCAACCTATTCATCTATGCTTTGGAGCTAGGTAACCATGGCGCTCAAAATGCTGTGTTGGGGTCTTTGAACAGGGATACACCCTATCTATTGGAAATCATGAGTGCTTTCCTTACAGAGGCTATTTATTTTAAGATTAACCTACCTCAGAAATTGTGCAAATGACACCTGGTCCATCTGCTCCTTTGAATCAGGGTTTATTGGCAAGATAAACCCATCAAGTAATAAAGTAAAAGTGAATGCAAACCATGTAAGCTGTATTAAAGGATACATGCATGCAGCATCTTTGGATTTTCAAGAAAGGCAAAAATCCTGTGAGGCAAAATCACCAGAGATGGAGAAATAGGATTCGGCAGGAAAACCAGAGTTTGGAAAAATTTACTTTATCACCCCTTAAGGAAGTTGAATCTAGGCTCCTTCAGACATGTGCAGTGCAAATTTAGGGACTGTATTCTAAATAGGCACTAGGAGTGATCAGGTTAATTACAGACCAGTAAACCTTACATCTCTACCTGGCAAACTGGTTGAAACAATAATTAAAAATAGAATAATAAAACATCTGGAAGATCATGATATAATGGGGTGTAACCAGCATGGTTTCTGCAAAAGGAAAATGTGTCTCACTAACTATTCACAGTCTTCAAACTTGTTAGTGAAGTTGTGGATAAAGGAGAATGATATGAGATAATTTATTTAGACTTTCAAAAGGTCTTTGACATGGTCCCACACAAGAGGCTGATAAAAAAACCCTAAGTAGTCATGGGTCAAAAGCTAGCTAGGAGACAGAAAACAAAGAGCAGGATTAAATGGCCAATATCCATCATGGTTAAAGATTCACAGCAGGTCCTCTGTTTAATATATTTATAAATGGGCTGGAAAAGGGGAGTGAGTGGCAAGGTAGCAAAGTCTGCAGATGACATAAAGTTATTTAGGTTAATCAAGACCAAAGATGACTGTATGAGTACCTTCAGAGAGACTTAACCAAGCTAGGTGAATGGGCAACACAATTGCACCTGAATTTTAATGTTGGTAAGTGTAAGGTAATGCACAGTGGAGGAGAAAAAGTTAAAAACTCAGACACCTTACAGGGTTCTTCCGTGTTAACTGTATAAACCCTGAAAAAAGACCTAGACTCAACTGTGGATGGCTCAGTGAAGACATCTGGTCAATGTGCAGCTGCGATCAAAAAAGCAAACGAAATGTTAGGATGAATAAAGAGACTTTCCAGCATCAAAATTATTTCTTAAAGCTAGGTCTCAATTCTTCTCAAAGCTAGTTAAAGGAAGCCTTAGCCAATCTCGTACCATGATAGCAGGCCTAGCCATTGGCAAACTTGTTTGCTGGGCACATTGGCTTATAGCTCTTTATCTCAAATAGTACTTATGATCTCTTTTACAGGTGTGGGCTGCTGACCCAACCTAGCTAGTTGCTTGTCTGCCCCCTTAGGAAGATGGGGATTGCTCTAGCCAGTTGTGTATCTCCACTGTTGTTGGAAATGTACATCTGCTAGATTCACTCCACATGCTCTATAGCAAGGGTTCTCAACCATTTTCTTTCTGAGGCCGCCCCAACATGCTATAAAAACTCCACGTCCCACCTATGCCACAACTGTTTTTCTGCATATAAAAGCCAGGGCCGGCGTTAGGGGGGTAGCAAGCAGGGCAATTGCCTGGGGCCGCACACAACAGGGAGCCCCCGCGAAGCTAAGTTGCTTAGGCTTCAGCTTCAGCCCCAGGTGGCAGGGCTCGGGGCCCTGGGCTACAGTCTTGTGCAGCAGGGCTTTGGCTTTCTGCCCTAACGAGTCTAATGTTGGTCATACTTGGTGGATCCCCTAAAACCTGCTCACAGCCCTGCAGGAGGCCCCGGACCTCCTGGTTGAGAACCACTGCTGTATAGAAACTTTCAGTTATCATAAGAATATAAGAACGGCATACTAGGTCAGACCCAAGGTCCATCTAGCCCAGTATCCTGTCTTCCGACAGTGGTCAATGCCAGGTGCTTCAGAGGGTCTGAACAGAACAGGTAATCATCAGGTGATCCATCCCCTGTCGCCTATCACTGCAGCATACCTGAGATGTGTGGGTTTCTCTGCACACCTAGGGAGGGCAGGCTATTAAAGCAATCCTGACTCAGAATATTATTGAAATTTGAAAAGGGGAAACCAATCTTTACAAGTTGCTAAATGGTGAAAATTATCAAAGTTGTTCAGTACATCTGAATTAAAGGGACACTGTAAACTCAATAAATCCATTTCTATCTAAAAATTTTCCTTTTATAGTCAGTCAGTTTCTTTTGCAATGAAAAGACCCATATAAACATCAACGTAAGAGCAGAAAGATAAAGGATTATAAAAAATGCAACATATACTATTTGAAGGATGATCTATTGGAAAATAGATTTTTTTAAATTAGTCATTTTGCAAAAAACTCAGGCTAGCAGCACATCATTAATATCATGACATTCTCCTATGATCTGAGCCCATAGGTGCTTTCTTTGAAAATGTTTCATAAATGGCTTTTTAGGATTTTTCATTTCATAGCGATGTGTTCCTTTACACTTCCTATATTAGTTAAAAACAATAAAATATGCAGTTTTCAAGAATAAATTGGGAAGAAATGTAGTTTGTAAAATCAGAAAATCTTTCCTTTCCAAAAGACTACAGTTGTTTTCTAATCTTCTAACAAAGCATAACGCAGTAGCTTGGCTTGTGAAAGGTTCATATTGATTGAGGAACCCAAAGCGTCTTTAATGTATGATCTATTTCCAATCTGACAGCCAAATTATATAAACAAAGTATTTTCCCACACACTTAAGATATTAAGTTGGTTTCGTAAAAAAATTCTATAAAGTATCTTACCTTTCTATTTTTTCTGAGAGAGCATATGTATAGTTGTGTGTTTCCTGGGCATTAAAAAGAAGTGATGTGTTGCAACAGCACTTTACTTTGTTTTCAACCTTTGTACTCCGTGAACGAGCAGGTAGCTAAAAATAAATAAATAAAAGACTAGAACTTCCTTAGCAAAAGATTGACTAGGTTGCACAATTTCTTATAGTCACTTAGATTTATTTGGATGTACAGCCAATAAGGAAGTCTGGTAATGATATGTTTAGGCCTCATAATTTCTGATCACATAGGAGAAATCAAGTTAAAATATTGCAGGAGTTTACACAAAGGATGAGTTGTGGTCAATTAAAGATATTTATAAGAGAAGAGGTTTATTTTGTAAGTGGAATCTAGTCATCAGATAAGTAAAATCTTCAGATCTTTACAGATGTGCACATTTTTAAATGATAATTCATGGTTTGCAAGCCTCATCTTTTTAGTTTGCTAATTTGTATATAATGGTGATGTAATTGAAGCAACTATCTCTAGTAGTAGCTTAAATCTGTCACATATTCCCTCTTTATTTAGGGGGAACATTGCATGGTATGTCAACATTCAAAAAATTACTTTATGATAGGTTTGATCCTAAAGTTGTTTTGTGTTCAAAATTCACATTGATTTCAGTGAGTTAAACTTGTGTAAGGACAGAAGAATCAAGTCCAGTGTTATACAATGTGTATCATATATATTTCAAGCAAAAAATCTACGGTAATGGTGCACTTTATTTTATCAGCTGGAATATATTTATTTTATTCTGGGGAAAGAAGTTAGCTGTATATTTTTTGTGTGAAATTAGATTGTTTCAGGGGGTACAAAGCATGGAATGAGCATCTCTTTGTTTTATAAATAAAAAGTATAATTAGTACCTAGTACAAGTTACAAAAATACTCTTACTTTCCTCTGTTATTACAGCAAAGAAAAGTTAATTCAAGCAGTGGAAGAAGATATTGAGCATGAAAAACAAGTAGCTGATGACATAATAAAAAATATGTCTCAGGAAAATCAAGCTAAATACATGGAGATGAAGGCTACAAATGAAAAACTGTTGCAGGTGGGTTTTGTCATATTGTTTGTCTAAGATGTATGTGAAATTAGCTCGATGATTTCCACTGTATAGTTTGCAATACTGAAGAATCTAAGATCTGATTACTTTAAAAGGAAACTTTCAGGTAGCATTATCCCCAACATTTCAACTTTGTGCTAATGCATGAAAATCAGAAAATGAAATTGACTAGAAACAAATAATACTTAGCACTTTCCACCTGTAGATATCAACGTGGTTTACAAAGGATAAATCATCCTCATTCTCCTCCATCATTATTCTCATTTTACAGATGGGGGAAATAAAGGTGTAGAGGTTAAGGCCCTGATCCAGTAAACAGTTAGATGCTTAACTTTAAGCACATGAGTAAAATTAAGAACAATTATAAACTATGCAGGATCCAGACCTAAATGACCTACCCAAGGTCACATTGCAAGTCAGTGATAGAGCTGGGAGCAAAACCCAAGATTTCTAATTCCTTATCCACTACAATAACTGCCTGACATTCACATAAATGAAAATGACTGCAAAAATTAAACTTAGATTTTTAAAATTCTTTCAGTGTCAGTTAGCTAAAGTTTAACAAAAGAGATGAGGATATTTTTAAAATATATATTATTTTTTCAACGGACACTTTCCCTTCAAAAAAAATTGATGAAAGGGGACAATGGTTCATAATTATAGCCAAAATACAAGTAACAATGATATGAATGTTATTCACAAAGACTCCAGTACTGCAAAGTCAGTGAAGCTCAACCTGGAGCTGTTTAGAGGAAGGGGTCTTAACCTATTCACATATATATCTAACAAATCAACTAAATGTTCTACAGCATTTGCAAGTATAAAATGTGTAGAATAGGGGAAGTAAATCCTCCTCCAGTGGTAATTGTTACCTAAACTATTCATGCTTGTTTTCTTTAGGAATTAGATGCTCAACAGCAGGAGTTGGATGGACTAAATATAAAGGAAGACACTCTAGGAGCTGTATGTATGAAGATAAATAACTGATCTATTTATATTTGTAAATGCAAAAAAAAAAATTCTTACATCAACAAAGTAATCACAGTATATTTTTGTCTGTAACTCTTTAATGGCTTGATCCTGCACCCATTGAAGATATAGGCAAAGCTCGCATCTATTTTAGTCGTGTGGACTCAGGCCATTAATTTGTATAATTTTATTTTTATCAGGCAGGGCCAAAACCTCACCAATTATGATTTATTACTTATTTTTGCTAGGTGTCAGGTAATCAGATAACTGTATTTCACAGCTAGTATATCATACATGTGAAATATAGCTTAGTGATTACATCATAGATGTAAACTAGCACTTTTGAAAGAATTAAGAAAGTCACTCTTTTTTTATGCTAATAGAGTAATTGTTTTTTGTGTGGATCCAAACAAACGTCCGGGAGAATAGAATTCCATCAACAAGCAAGATCAGGGCTGTAACACTGTCCTTCTGTGGCCACTTTTCTAGCCTATGTGCTGGAACACCAGATGCAGTCCTTCCAAACCCCAACATAGAGGCTCCTTGTTATTGTACACATGTGTATGAGCCCAAATCAGTGGTCCCCTCCACAGTCACTTATTTTGATCTAGTATCGGTGCTCCACTGAAGGTCATCTTGCATGGTAATTTCTCCCACTCCCATCCTTGCAGAGGCAACATAGTGCTTAAGTAGCATGCAGGGGCTTGCTTGTACTCCCTAGCCTGAGCTAAATTTTGCCCATGGTGAATATATACTGTGCTGTCACTTAAGTGTGTAGTAGGCCTGTGGCTTTCCTCCATGTTTTCCACTGCCTTGGATTTGCTCCTCAGAAAGAAAACAGAACATATTTTACCACTAGACACTCTAACATTCAGGATAGCAAACTCATATAGCTGTGGTGAAGTTTCCTTTCTAAACTCTATTTTTCAGTTACCCTTAACAGTGTCAGATGTATTCTTTTGTGACATTAGAAATCAGAGAATTACTTTTAATTTTTCCCTGAATATATACATCAGATCACTCACAAACTCTTCTCCCCGGACAGTTGAGAGGTTTGCAATTTCTCTGTACGACTCAGTCTTCTTTAATATGTGCGTGAGTGACTTCACCTCCCACTTTGAAAGAACTGGCCTAAATTCCATAGCAGGGGTTGTGCTACACACATACAAACCAATAGGTTTAATCCACTGAAGTTGAAGATTGCCTGCATTGGTCTCACAGAGGAACATGCTCCCAAAAGTGTGGATAAGATGTAGTATATATCCTCAGAAAACAACAGTTACAGTGAAGTAATTTCCTCTTCTCTTACTTTCACAGGTCAGTGGCATAGATATTTTGACAACCCCTTCAAATATTAGATCTTTTGATGTGTGCATGTGGCTTGATATCATAGTGAAAATGTCTTGACCATGCAAGGCCTTTCTGCCCCTTCCCCCATAAAAGTTCCTCAACAGAGATTATCTTCCAGCAAAGAAGGAGCAGAAATGTACTTGGTAAATTTGGAGCTCCGTTAGGGTAGACCCTCATAGCAAGACATAGCCTAATAAAGCACCCAGATAGCACTGAGATGCTCAGAAACTGTGCTTAAGGGCAAGATCCTAGACAGCTAGATTATATGGGTGGTCCTTTGTGCAGACTTCACTGTACAGTTGCCAAATAAACTTGTTTTATTAAATATGTGAACAACAAGGAGTCTGGTGGCACCTTAAAGACTAACAGATTTATTTGGGCATAAGCTTTCGTGAGTAAAAACCTCACTTCTTCGGATGCATAGAGTGAAAGTTACAGATGCAGGCATTATATACTGACACAGGGAGAGCAGATCTATTATTGGGAGTGGACTACATCCACCCTGATTGAAATTGGCCCTGTCAACACTGGTTCTCCACTTGCGAAGTAACTCCCTGCTCTCCCTGTGTCAGTATATAATGCCTGCATCTGTAACTTTCACTCTATGCATCCGAAGAAGTGAGGTTTTTACCCACAAAAGCTTATGCCCAAATAAATCTGTTAGTCTTTAAGGTGCCACCAGACTCCTTGTTGTTTTTGTAGATACAGACTAACACGGCTACCCCCTGATACTTAAATATGTGAACTTTGCTAAATAAAAATACAAGCACTGCAACAATTTCTTACCTACTAGAAATGCGTCTAACCAGTAAGTGTTTGTTTGTTTGTTTGTTATACTCAGGAAATAGCACATTCCCAGGTAAAACAAGAGGCAGTGCAGCTGTATGAAAAACTTCATGGGCTCGAGGAACATCGGGATCAAATGATTGCTGAGGACAAGAGTATGGGATCTCCACAGGAAGAAAGAGAGCGATTACTGAAACAGGCAGGAAAACAAAATGATTATTACATCTTTTGTTTACAAGGCTTTTTTAATTCAGTGTTTTTTAAAGAATGAAAATGTTAAAATACTGGGCTGGATTCTCTGCCTGGATTCTGGCCCTTTTTGCTCTTTGAGCAACACAAAGGAGCTGGAACCTGGATTAAGAATTATCTGGTGGGGTGGAGCTCTCAGCTAATGTAAAACTGTCAGAGGCAGCTCCTGTTCTAGTCACTTTCATACCAGGTTTTCAGGATAGAAAGGGAGCACTCAGGGGTGGGAAAATTGGATTCATTTTCTTTAACATCTTTCTAACTCAAGACTAAAAAGTTTGGGAAAGATGAGCTGTCTTATTCATTAAGGACCTGGTCTTGCAACCTTTTCTGGTGTGAGTAATTCCTACTAACATAAGTAGTCTGATTAATTTAAATGAAGCTGTTTGCATGCATACAAAGTATTCATGTGAGAGTAAGTGTTGCAGAGCATTAAAGTTTAAAATAGGTATTGGGAAAGAAGAGAAGCACGGGGAGGTAGCTGAAATGATGACACCACTAAATGATAATATTGCATCTTTTATTCAGCAAAGCAACCATTGTAGAAAAATGATTTCCAAGCAGATCTTTGGCAGGCTGAGCCTTCATTCCTAACATAACTGAGTTAATCATTTGGTTTTGTGCATCTTTTAAATTGTCTCTCTCTTTTTTGTCTTTGAATTTATTCCCCGTATTGAAACATTTGTTATTCATTTTTTATAGGTTAAAGAAGATAACCAGGAAATAGCAAGTATGGAAAGACAGTGAGTACTTATGTTATATTGCTCTTATAAGCCCCGCTCCTGCCAGTGGGTCCGCACATTATAAAAGAAGTGTCTGAGCACAGGATTAGGAGCCAAGCATTACTTTTTGTTCTCACACAAACTTCCTCTGTGAAGTTGAGCAAGTCATTTATCCTGTTTGTTATCCTGCTGTGAGAATTAGTTAATATTTATAAAATAATAGATAAGTGTTGCTTGTAGCTGTTGTTATTAATAATCTACAGTAAAATTTAATTAAATTAAGTTACTAAAGCATTCTATACGTATTATGCTTATACTCACTAAAACTACTGTATTTGAGGATCTCTTACTTTAGAAACTCAGCTGTTTTTAAAAAAAGTCTCTGAGTTTAAATTTAGCTAGCAATCTCAACCTGGAGACCATTTAAAAATTGTTTTACATTGTTTTTAAAAAGTTTTTCCAAAGTTTAAAACATTTGACTGGCTTGCTGCTGTGTTGATATGTGCTGTATAAATCAAATGTCCATGAGACTAAAAAAGGAATTTAGATGCTTGCTTGCTTCCATAATTTAAAACTGATATCATAACTTGTTTGAATACAAATATTTATTGATACAATTAAGCCCTACAACACAAGTTAAATATTGTCTAATCCATATTTATGCAGTAGGTAAACTGTTTAAAGTAGGGCTGTCAAGAGATTAAAAAAATTAATCGCGATTAATAGGCACTGGGCAGCATTATCGCCTGCAAATGTAAACACACTTGTCTGTCTTAGCGATTGGCTGAACAAGAAGTCAGGACCGCTGACTTGTAGGCTCCTCTGCTTTGGTACCACAGAAGATGGCACCATGTCTGCTGGCACCAACAGCATTGACTCTTGCAGTGTCGACGATACTGGCACCAACAGGGTCAGGCGGTCCCTGGCAGCCGCAAACGTGCATAGGAGCTCCTGATTGCAGTCCTCTGGGCTCCCACAGGAGGTCTAACAGATTGTGCAGGAGCTTCCCTTTGAGGGATCCTTGCTCTTTTAGGAGCAGACACACTAAGCCCGTGGGTTAAAAGACTTGAGGGCAACATTAAAGTCCCTGGGGTTGTACACCCTAGCCCTTTTCAGGAAGCACTTCATGCCTCAGCAGCCCCTCCAATATTCTGCTTCAGCTGTCCAACAGGACCTGCAGAGACTGAAGACTAGAGGCTATAGGTGTAGACCACCTCCTCTTTCTACCTCCGCTTCAGTGCCTGTCCCAGCTAGACATCCAGGGAGTTGTAAGCAGGCATTTTGATGGGAAGCTCGAGGACATCGTACCAGTTCCCAGGATGCCAGACACAATTTTTCATTTGTTTGCAAACTGCCTTGCCCATTTCATCAGCGCTTGGTCTCATAGCACTATGACCTGTGGGTGCTGAGCACTGTAGAGGTGGGATATACCTTCCAATGTATTTCCTTCCCACCTTCACTCTCCATCCCTCTGCAGGGACCCCTCTCACAAAGAACTTCTGGTCCAGGAGGTTCAATCTCTTCTTCAGGTAGGAGCCATAAAGGAAGTTCCACAGAATTTAAGAAGGAAAGATTTCTACTCCCATTATTTTCTAATCCCAAAAGCCAGGGGAGATCTCAGGCCTATTTTAGGCCTGCATCAGCTCAACAACTATCTCAAGAAGATTACGTTTCGCATGGTCACCCTGGCATCCATTATTCCCTCTCTGGATCCAAGAGACTGATATGCCGCCCTCGATTTAAGAGATGCCTACTTTCATGTGTCGATATACCAAGGGCACAGAAAGTTTCTCAGACTCGTAGTGGAGTACTCATATTACCAGTTCATGGTGCTTCTATCTGCAGCTCCTTGGGTGTCTGGCTGTGGTAGCAGCGTTCCTCAGAAGATTAGGAGTGCAGGTCTACCCTTACCTGGATGACTGGCTAATCAAGGACCAGTCCCAAACTTAGGTGATATCCAGTGGTGCAAGTAAAATCCATGTCTTACCAGTGTGGGGGGGCCCCCACTAGCTAAGGAGGGCACATGACCCTCCATGTGAATCCTCACCACCCCTGGGGTCCCCACGCTCTCCGCGTCCCCTCCCCACATCTATCCCGTGTTTCCCGGGGCAGGGGGGGCGGGCGGCTCTATCCTCCTCCTGATGCGCCAGAGACAGGGCTGGCAGGGGCAAGGCTGGGGAGCGGCGGTACAGCCGCCGGAGGAGCTGCCAGCATTCTGCTCCTTTCCCTGCTGCTGCGCCTCCCAGCAGGGAAAGGAGCAGAACTCCCAGCCCCGCCCCCTGCCCTTCCAGGCATGGAGCTGTGTCTCCATCCTTCCTTGTACTACAGCAACAGCCCTGCCGGAGACTGAGCTGGGGGACAGGGTTAGGGGTGGTACAGCCGCCGGTGGAGCTGTCAGCAGTCTGCTCCTTTCCCCGCTGCCTCTCCCAGTGGGGAAAGAAGCAGAACCCCCAGCCCTCCTGCTTCTGTGTCTTTCCGGTACGCTGTACCAGCTATAAATAGCTTGCTAGTATGGCATACCGGAGCATACCAGCCTACTTGTACTGCTGGTTATATCCAGCGTTCATCTTATTCAGTCAGCCTTCAAGGCCTTAGGACTACTGATCAATGCAGACGAATCTATCCTTTGCCCATTGCAGAGGATAGGGTTTATAGGGGCTTTGTTGGACTCTACCCAGGCCAGAGCTGTCCTCCCAGAGTCGAGAATCCAATCTATTTGATCTCTCGTGACAGTACTCAAGATTCATCCAATCACAACAGTCCAAAACTGTATGAGACTCCTAGAGCACATGGCCTGATGCACATATGTAGTACAACATGCCAGGCTGCACTTCAAATCCCTTCAAACATGGCTGGCCCCAGTGTACTTGCCAAACCATCTGCATTTGGACACTGTGCTCATGGTACCTTCACAGGTTCTAATTTTGCTGAATTGGTGGTTGAATCCTATCAACATTTGCGTGGGTGCTTCCTGCGCCCTCAACTATCAATGACTCTGGTCTCAGGATCTAGGATGGCTCTAGGATGGGGAGCTCACCTGGAGCTCTGAACTCAGGGTCTTTGGTCCTTGACAGAGCTCGCTCTTCATATAAATGTCAGCGAGATAAGGGCAATTCGTCTTGCCTGTCAGGCTTTCCTACCTCATATCAGGGGAAGAAACCTGCTTGTCCTTCCAGACAACATTGCAGCAATGTTTTACCTGAACAGATAGGGAGGTGCTCATTCGTCCCTCCTATGTCAGGAAGCAGTTCACCTATGGATATTTTGCATAGCCCATCTTTTGCATAGGCCAACTTCAAGGCCACCTGTCTTCCAGGGGTGTAGAATAAGCTAAAAGATCTCCTGAGCAAGTCTTTCTCCAGTCACCATGAGTGGTCTCTTCACTCGACGTAGCCAGAGGCATTTTCCAGTAGTAGGGGACTCCCCAAATAGACCTATTTGCAAACAACAGAAAATGTCACCAATTCTGCACTCTACAAAGCCACAGTCCAGGTTCCATCACAGACACCTTCCTGCTACCCTGGATGGGAAAGCTTTCTTATGCTTTTCCCCCAGTCCCACTCCTACACAGAGTGCCACTAAAGAGCAAGCAGAGTCACACCTGGGTTATATTAATAGCCCCAGCATGGCCCCACCAACCCTGGTTCTCCACTCTACTGGACCTTTCAGCGGCAACTCCAATCTCGCTCCCGTTGCACCCAGTTGGCTGCTTCTCCCAAACCTGTGAACCCTTTTTTTAACAGCCTGAAAGCTCCATGGTTAAATCCCAAAGAGCAGGCTTGCTCGCAGCAAGTTCGCCAGGTAGCAGAAAGCTCTCCACCAGAGCCACTTGTCTGTCAAAATGGATGTTTCTCTATCTGGGCTTGTCAAACCAGAGTTTCACCGATTCATTCCTCCATCCACCAAATACTTGCCTATCTCCTGCACCTGAAACAGCAAGGCGTAGCGATTTCCTCTGTTCACCTGGCAGCAGTATCAGCTTTCCACCCTCACGTGGATAACTGTTCTGTTTTTTCTAATGACATGACAATTAGATTCCTTAAAGGCTTGGAAAGATTGTACTCTCAACTAAGGGAGCCAATTTCCCCTTGGGGAGTGAACTTAGTTTTGGCTAAATTCATGGGACCGCCATTGAGCCTCTTCCTAGAGGTTATATGTGCTGCTTATACTACTCCTTTCCTGGAAGGTGATCTTCCGAATTGCTATCACTTCTGCCAGAGGGGTCTCCAAACTACGCACCCTCACATCCAAACCACCATACACAGTCTTCTTTAAAGATAAGGTGTACTTACGCCCTCATCTAAGGTTTTTGTCTAAAGTAGTTTCAAATTTTCATATCAGTCAATTTACTTGCCTGCATTTTACTGCGAACCACATGCAAATAGGGATGAGTAATGGCTACACACATTAGACATTAGACAAGCACTGGCATTCTACATAGGACCAAACCATTCTGGCAATCCACCTAACTGTTCGTGGCCATAGCGGACAGAATGAAAGGTCTTTCGATCTCTGCTCAGAGAATTTCATCTTGCATAACTTCTTGTATCTGCACGTGTTATGATCTGGCAGGCATCTCTCCTCCAGACAAGCTGACTGCCCACTCTACAAGATTGCAAATATCCTCAACAGCATTCCTGTTGCAGATGCCTATCCTGGACATTTGCATAGCACCAATCTGGTCATTGGTACACACTTTCTTCTCCCCTTCTCTACCATCACTCAGTATTCAAAAGATGGCGCCAAATTTGGTCGCTTTGTATTGTGTGTGCATACATAAACTCTGATCTGTCTGCCTATTTAACTGCTTGGGAATCACCAAGAGCGGAATGCACATGTACAATCACTTGAAGAAGAAAAAATGGTTACTAACCTTTCATAACTATTGTTCTTCAAGATGTGTTGCACATGTCCTTTCCACGACCCACCCTTCTACCACTCTGCATTGGAGTTTCTGGAAGGAAGGAACTGGGGGACTCAAGGTCAGCTGGGCCCATCAGCAGAGGATGCTCAAGCCATTCCGGCAGGTACCACTGAGGGAAAAAGTTTCTGGCGACTCTGCATGGGGTACGCACACACCAAGAGTGGAAAGGACATGTGCAACACATCTCAAAGAACAACAATTATGAGAGGTTAGTAACCTTTTTTTCTTTAAATCTCCTAGAAACTATGTTGTACAATTTTATTTAAATATTCACAGTCACAGGCATTTTGTGGGTTTCTTTTTAAACTGGGTAACCAACATTTGATTGGCTAATAAGTTGCTTAAACAGAATTCTTGGTAACTAAGAAAAATTATAATTGATAAAGAATTATAGCTGAAGATTTACAGAAGAATTTCTGAATGTAATGTAATTACTTAATCCATTTGATTATAGTCTACAGTGTTTTACATTTCTTAATTAATATTGTTATACAGAGAATTTTATTTAAATAAAAATCACTATTTCCTGCTGCGTTATGCCATTTGTTGTCTCGCTGTAAAGCTGTGTAACAACCAACAGAGGGACCCATATAGTAACACAAACTGAATAAGAACTGAATAATTGTAGTGATTATGTTTGTTTCACAAAGACAAAAGGTTTTTAGTCCAAAATGAGGCAGAAACAATGTGTTTAGTACATTGAGAGACCATGGTGAGGGGTGCCATACAAATGCTTGTTATAATAATGACCTTACTATTCTATTATTATTTGTATTAGTAATACAGTCTGTTTACTATTTGTATTCTGATCCTTCATAGTGCCTCTTAAAAGCTAACCATTTAATAGCACAGTTTTAGCTACAAATTTTATTTATTATTAGGCTGACAGAAATAAAAGAAAAAATCAACCATTTTAATGATGTAATTCGACGACTTGACATGGATCTGGAGGAGCATCAAGGTAATAGCACCAAATTCAAAATAGAATCTAAAGAGCCAAATTTACAAAAGTTGTCTTTAAGTTTGCATGTGGTTTGCAATTTGGGGTGTCCTAAAACTCTGATTTGCATCTGCATTTGCGTAGCCTGATCTGGAAGGGCACAAACTCCAGTTTGTAGATTTCCAAAATGGTGAGTTCCTTAAATTGGCTTGAGGCCGGAAGTGTGGTTCTGGTCAGTAAAATAACTGTATAAAAATAGCACTTAGTGCACCTGTCTGTTTCTTCTGTGTTGCCCCAATCATATCTGCATGGCTTCTTGAGAAAAAACAAGCCTTTATTACTGCACCACTGTAAAAGTAGTATATCACCAGAAAAACAAAATACTGTATTTTTTTGTTGTCTTTGATCTCCGAAATATTGTCAGTTAATTTGGATTTTGGAATGTTTATTGCTTGTAATGAACAATGTGTAATGTGAAACATGAAAATGGAGCTGAATTCTTCCTTTGAAGCGTCAGATGTTTTAGCCCCGGCCAAGTAGCAGAATAACAACTTGATTGACCAATGATTTGATCAAGTATGTCAGATCATACATTTTCTGTCCCTGACAGTCTACACAGTAGCTCATTCCCTGTTCCATAGCAACTGGAGGCAGTTTGACTTTGAGCTAACAGTGGTCCATCTCTGAGTGATTGCTTATTGACTGGAGCTTAGTGGTAGTGGGCTTAATGAGTTACTAAACTCACCCCAGCTTAAAAAGGGTCTTTCTAGCCTGATTTAGAAAGAGTCGTACTCCAGTGTTGGAAGTGTAGGACTGAAATTGGCTTGAGAGCCTGGCTTGGGCAGAGACCTGTTCCAATTATGAGAGATTCAGTTTAGCCTAGGAGTCTAATCAAGGCTTGTGTAGCTTAGTCCAGCTGGGGAAGCTTAGTTTAGGCAGATGCCCATATCAGCCCTGACAAAATTCTGTTCACCCTGGAAACTCAGCCCAGGGAAAGCCTTGTTCTAATTCTGGTGGCTCTTACTTTGACTGGGAGCTGCATTATTACGATGCTGCTGCAGGAGTCTCTGTAACAGAAGTTATTTTGTTTCCTATGAGACCTTTAAATTAAAATGTGTGTGTAAATAAATATAATATTTTTAACTCTCCTGAGTATTTTTTCCTCTTGAGAGGAGGCTCAGCACACAATCTGACCTCTAGTTTCTTCGAAACGACAATAATTATACTGTGATTGAGCTTAGCTTAAACAATTGCATAATACTTGTTGTTTCTCTTTTCGATCTCTTGTATGACATTTCATTTCCTATTACTGAAATGTAGCATTTTCATTGTTTCCCAGAGAAATAGCTTGTTATTGAAAACATTTATTTATTATTAATTTCCCCTTTCCAGATAGCAGTAAGAGCTTTACTGTTTTGCTTTTATTTTTCTTTTCATTTGGTTTCCAACACTGTTATCTTTGTATCCTTGGATGAGTATAGAAGGTAAGGAGTGAATTGCTTCTTAGTTTATAGTTTAGCAACTGCATAGCAACCAGTCCTTTTGTTGCTGGTCCTCCATTGCACTTGCTCTGCTGCCATCATTTGTTTTCTAAAGGCCTTTGTTTAAAAGAAGTGTATGAAGTACATTTAGTAGAACTGCTGATACCCTGATACCTGGAATGGTCAGTAGAAGTATTACAGGCTGAATGAGACTACCTTATATATTTATCTGATAGCCAATAATGTTTCCTACAATCTATATTGAATCAGGAATGTATTGGGCACTGACCTTGTTCGTGCACTGTGGGGACAGAGCCCACCTGGTCTAAATTGTCATAGCTCCATGGACAGACAACAGTTTACACCACCTGAGAATCTGCCCCATGAAATTTATTTTTCCCTCATCAGCTTTTTATCTGTTTAAAACATCACTGCATGACTACTGTATTTTTGACCGGGAAAGTAGTGATTACATAACTTGTCCTCACAAACTGTGCTTACCCTGGTCCTTGTCCGTAAGTTGTACTCCTTTGAAACTTTTGTCACCCACACTTTTACAAGGTAGACTAGAGGCTTATAGCACTTGAAGTTAAGCACATGCATAGGTGCTTTGCTGAATACGCATGAATTTACGCATGTGCTTAAATTCTTTGGTGAATCAGTGCCAACTTTCTAATTATTGTTAACAGGAACAGCAGCTGGATAGCACAAAAAGAAATTTCCGAAACAGTAGCTGAAATAGTCATTCTCTCTCATTGTGCTCTGGACTGCTGCTGACTTCTTCTGCCCATTTCTTGTGTGAATGTTGAGAGCCAAGGTGCTTCTTGCAAAAGCCTCTGATTAGAGGTTTTTAGTGGGACCTACAATGGATTTGAAAAGTAAAGCAGTGCAGTCCAGAGATGGGTCAAGTTTATGGGAGAATTGCTCAGTAGTGAATTAGAGCACTTGGCAAACTGATTCAAACACAATAGGAAGAAATTAGAGCCAATAATATTATTAATGGTTAGGATGTAATTTTTTCAATGTACTTCTGTTATTGGTGCTCAGTACACAAACTATCAGTGCAACTGGGACTACGTTAACTTATATTTGGCCCCAAATTTAAATTTTATATAAATAAGCTTTTTATAACGCCTCAGTTCAATAGCAACATTTCAAAAAATGAAAATGAAAATGTCAAGTGAAAACAGTTGATTTTATACATCTAAAAATTCCTTTGCAGCATTTGAAATCCAAATATTTCACGGCTAAAAACATGAAAGTAAAACTGACTTCATTGATTTTTATTGTCCAAGCAGAAAAGCAAATAATTAGGATTTTTAAAATTTTTACTTTTAATCATCTAAAATAATATAGGTTTAAAAAAAAAAAAAGTCCACTTACAATATGTGACTTGTAAGTTGGCAATGACATTTAAGTGACCAGTCACAAGCTCCTAATAAATCAGATTTCTGGAATGTAGTCTGCAAATGAAGTTTAAAGTATGTTATTGGTAAAATAATTCAAACTTTTGAGCTAAAGTTATTTATACACTATGGACATTTTAAAACTAGTGCTATAATTCTTTAAACTCTCTTAGATTGCTTACAGTCAGCCTTAACATGCTAACCGTGTAGAGTGATGCACAGTCTTCTTGCAAGTGGAATGGACTTCATGTTGCTAATTTACCCTGTATCATGAAAGGGAGAGTCAGCAAGAAACAAGGCCACAGCTGCAAGGAAACTCAAGCAAAATCACTGTCCCTCAGAGGTCACTGGTTATGCTTATTGTTTATATGTACTAGATAAAAAGGAAAGCAGAGAGGATGTAGATGTAAAAGACTTGGGGGGAAATGTGCTTGCTCAGTTAAATCTATATCCAGCTTTTCCTTTCCTTCTGTGCTTTTTAAATGCTCCGACATATGTTGAAATTAGTGATAAGACTGAATTTCAAACCAGGCACTTATTAAGTGAAGGCTGCCACAACATGATGAACTTGCCCCATCTTCTTGAAATTTTGCAGCATATATAGTAAGAGTCTGCCCCCATTCTGAGACTCCTTAATTGAAGACTTCTTGTAACCCAGTATTTAGGTACAAAGGTGGCTAGAGGTAAGGCCATCATGGTATATGTACTGATACTGTCACTGTTAAAAACATTCTAACGGTCTTACCTTAGCATTATTTTAAACACTTTTTTTTTTACATTTTGTTCCCATGCTGAAGTGAATTGTGGTACCTAAACCCTGTTCACGTTGGACTAAATTATGGCTTGCCACAAGCCCTGAATGAAGGGAAGCGCATAGCTGAACTACTTTAAGAGCAGACTAGTAACTAGACTGTGATTCAGAATCACAATCTGATCTCCAATTTCCCCTTCCTCCAGCAGGGTGAGTAATCTGCACCAGCCCTAAACTCTGCTGTTATTATTATTATTTATTTGAATTATTGCCAGCACAGCTATTGTGGCTGGCACATTGAGTGTGGAGTCAAAGCTCCCCACTAATTGCTTGTTTACTCAGCCTACTTGAGCAAGAGAAGTCAGCCCCATAAAAGCTGCTTTTCCCCCGTGTGGCTACTTGCTATATGAGTAGTGAATGCAAGGAGTGCTTTCTTGCACCCCGGCACAGGTTAACAGTGAAAGTTACAATCTGATCCAAATGGTTTAGATAAGAGGTGTACACAATGAATTTGACCCTCTGAATAAACATTTATATAGTCTAGAGCGTGTTAAAAATATTTAAAAAAAATAAAGTTTAATTAATGTACACAAATTTGTCAGGAAGGATACATTTCCTAACTTATGCATTCAAATTCTCAGCTTAATCTTGTCCTAACATAGCTTTCCCAACCACCACCAGTAAATTGCTACACTGTAGAAAGCTAAATGTATATATTATGCTTTCTACTGGATATTCATTTTCTTCCCTGTGACTAACGCAGTTGAAATCCAAATTAGGGATGAAGCAGAACCATGAGTTCGTTATTTAAGACCATCCTAATGCGTGACAATATAGATGATGTGGGATTTTTTGTTTTATCTTATTTAATTGAAGATTGCTACCTTATTAATATCCAGAAAGTACATCACAAAGTAATCTTGACTGCTGAAAGCTAGAGAAACTGGCATCACTTCCCAAATCTTAAAAAGAATTGCAGAATGACTTAGTTTGCCAGTTGACATGGCCCAATTGCACAAATGTGATTTTTCCAACACTAGAAAGTGAAACAGACTAATATTCTAAAATGTACTTGCCCTTAATTTTAAAAAAATCTGCCAACTAATACAATTTAAAAAAAATATTTAGGGCACTGTCAAATTCTGAGGCACGTGACCTCTATCCCACTATGTATATTTTAAAAAAAACCCTGAAGATTACACTGATGACGTATTGTTATGCTGCTTCCCTTTTTATGAAATGTGTATCATTTGCTGTTGATTGACAATGATTATAGTGAGACATGTAAATAACATACAGTCCAATCCTTTTGTGCTTAAGTATGCCGGATTCACGTTTTAGATAATTGAAGTTTTGCCTACCTAAGCCTGCTACAGGACTGAGTTAATAAAAAAAGACCTATAAAAAACACAATGTAGAGTTCGGAGCAGTTGATGTTTTGGAGTTAAATCAATGTTACGTCTCTTGTAGGGGAGAAAAATCTGAAATACAAGGAGCTGAAGAAGAGAGAGGAAAGCATGGACAGTAAGTTGTTTAATACAGATTAGATTCCTGGACTGCCAAAGCACAAGGCTTTTTGGATTGTCAAAGCACAATTTATTTGAACCCCAAAACGGTTGACCTGCTGACCACTTGTCTTAAGACCCTGTTACCTGATTCAGAGATGCCTCAGCCCAAAGTAACTGATACTGCACATTTACAGATGATTGGAGCACTTTTCCTGGCTCATCATCTGGCATTTAAGATTTCAGGAACACGTTTTTACGAGGTAAAAGCTAGAATAAAAAAGAATTTTTAAAAATATGCTAAAATGAAAGTTAAATAAAAATGTCATGGAGTGCCCACTGGTGTTCTGAATAAGAGCAAAACTTTGAAGTTGCTCTGAGAATCAGAAACTACAACTTTAGTACATTTTTACTTATTTTTCTAAGATGAGTACTACTAAAGCTTTCTGACTTTCCAATGCGGTTTCATGACATAGAAGCCTCAGCAGAGGCGGAGTGAGGGTGCAAAACATTTAGGGCAAAAATATATTTTAAAAGGTATCCTATTGTTAGAATGTTTATAGAGCATTATAAATATATACGGCTCTTTACAAAGCCAAACCAGGAACTTCCAAGAGCTTACCAGCAGATTTAGACATGTGCTATGTAGAAAACCAGTTTGCATGAAAGAAGGCACTGTTGGTGAGATCAGTATATATAGACTTTGCCAAAAGAAAAAATTGTTTAGGGAGCGTTTAGAATGAGAAGAGCGAGGGTACGCGGTACACAGGAAGAGTAGAATAGATTTTTTAACTTTTAGGAGAAAGCACTGTCTGTTAGGTTGAAAAAGTGGTCATCTTGTGAATCAGTGTTAGGTTTTGGGTAATAATTCTCTAAATCCACAACTTGAGTCAAAATATTGTCAAATATTTATATCATACATATATGGACATCCATTGATGCCTTGGACTTTGTTCCTTTATAGAATTAGTATGGAAAAGCTTTACTGTATACATCTTTGTGTTGTAATGATCTCTAGGAACCCATTTAAAATGTTTCTTTCTAAAGGTAAGTTTATTTCATAAGTCCCATTTTCCCATTCCCTCTGCTTTGAACAACTCAATATTTTATAAGTTTCAACTCTCTTTCTAAAATTGTGGAGAGAAAATATTTGTGAGGATTTTGTGGGGCAGAAGAGATTCCTGTCTGATATCCTGAATGACATTTACACATCTTCTTTGGAAACAAATTTGTGGCTCCAAATCTAGCAAGTAATACTTCAGTCTTCTTTTCTCTGATATGTAACATGCTTGGACACACATGCTTATAAGCTTTCCTGAGTCTGAGCAGAGTCCAGGCACTGTCTCTGGGTTTCTAGGCACACTTGCAGGTTTCAGATTCCCTTTCTAACACCCCCTTCTGACGGTTGAGGCCCCCCGGTCCAGCTGCCTAGGCCATGAAACTATCAGCTATCACTTTCCCGGAGCTACAAACTTGCAGATACTCTGGGCTATGTTTTACCTCTTCAGGGACCAGTGATAGTTCAAGCAAACGAACATAGGCTTTGCAAAGGGATCCAAAATAATTACTCTTTACTTTAGACAGCACAAAAATCAATCAAACAGCTATACATCATTCCCTGCCTCAGTTTCCTCACCTCCCTTGAGCATTCTTTGGGATTTTTTCAGAGTCCTCTAGGGTGTCAAGGGTTCCCCTCCTGCAATTTATGGCTTCTCCTTCAAAACATGAAGGCTGTCTAGCTGACCCCTGCAGTCACTATCCTTTAGCTCCAAATCCTGGCTGGATCACAGTGGAAAATGATTCCCTCTACTACAAAAGCATGCCTCTTTGTTCCTCTCTTCTGCCTCAAGTTTCCTTTGTCTATCTGACCGACTCAGTCTCCGTATTAAATTAAATTTTATGGGAAAGGCATAAGAGAGGCACAGACGGGGCTTGAGGAGGGGCACAACATGGTCTAAGCAGTGGGCAAGAAAGAATTTTGCTCCTGTGTTCTGAAATATCTGTAGGGGAGTTAAATGGCAATTGAGGAGACTTAGAGTACTAAAAGCCTTTTCTCTTTGCCTCTCCTTAAGGATTTTCTAGTGAGCTTTCGCTGCATTGTCTAAGTGCTAGATTTGTAATATGTTGAATATAAAGCTAATGAGTTTGCTTTGCAGAAATAGTTTTAGATGGATGGTAAATAGTAAAATGGAGACTCTCTAAAGTTATTTGTGTTGTCTCAGTCTCCACCTGTCTGTTGTCATCCTTATGTTGTTCCTCTTTAATTTTATAGACTGTTAGCCAGAAGCATACATCTTGAGTGAACAATTGTATAAGTACCAAAAATGCCAAAAACATGCATTGATATGGCATCATTCTAAAAAAATGGAACTGGAAAACTGGGGGGAAAATCGCTTCCACTTAACTCAGCAAAGAAATGTCTTAAATAAGCAAGCTGTAATTGATTTTATTTTAAAAATGTGATTATTTCTCACTTGTTCCCGTCTTTAAAGTTTTAACAAAATGGTAAATAGTAAAATACAGATTAAAAAAATAAAACTGCAAAGCTTCTCAGACCCCAGCATTTATTAAGCATGAAATTACTTGATAGAGTATTTTATTTAAATTGAAGTATATTCAAATCTTAGGTGTTATAAGATACAATTTTGTAAAACTACAGTGAGGTTTTTTTATATTTGCTGTTGAATTCAGAGTAAGTACAGTCATACTGGAGAACCCAAAATGTTAATGTAAACAGCATCCTCCCTTATCTTGTTTTTTGATCCGTAGACTTTCTTGAGACTTTTGAAGAGATGAAGACCCAGGAACTGGAACGGAAGGCACAGATAGAGGCCAACATTGTTGCACTGTTAGAGCACTCAAGTAGGGTAAGTGCCTTTCTCTGTCTCTGATAAATTAGGCAGTCATAAATGGGAGCCTCATAAAAGACATTGAGGAGATTAAATAGAACAATGGTGATTAAATACTATTCAGCCCAATTATTGGTGTAATTATCTTCCAAACAATAAACTGATACCATGTGTTATTGTAAAAAAGTAAAATGTATTTAATTACTGTTGTATTCTCTGTCACTGTTTTGAGGGAAATTTTACAATTAATAAAATCAGATGATATTTGTGACCAGAACAAAAGAAAAGTTTTTAGCATTACTATAATCCATCAATATGAAACTTGCGAGAATACTAAAACTAAGAAATTTCATTGATTGCTAGTTTATCTAGACCAGGGGTGGGCAAACTTTTTGGCCTGAGGGCCACATCTGGATATGGAAATTGTATAGCGGGCCATGAATGCTCACGAAATAGATGGTTGGGGTGCGGGAGGGGGTGAGGGCTCTGGCTGGGGGTGTGGGCTCTGGGGTGGGGCCAGAAATGAGGAGTTCAGGGTGTGGGAGGGGGATCCAGGCTGGGGCAGGGGGTTAGGGTGCGGGAGAGGGAGAGGTGAGGGCTCCAGCTGAGGGTGCGGGCTCTGGGTGGGGCTGGAGATGAGGGGTTGGAGGTGCAGGAGGGTGCACCGGGCTGGGACTGAGGGGTTCGGAGGGCGGGAGGGGGATCAGGGCTGGGGCAGGGGGCTGGGGCACGGGACGGGGTCAGGAGTGCAGGCTCCGGGTGGCACTTACTTCAAGCAGCTCCCAGAAGCAGCGGCATGTCCCCCCTTCAGCTCCTTTTGCAGAGGCGTGGCCAGATGGCTCTGCACGCTGCCCTGTCCGCAGTCGCCGCCCCCACAGCTCCCATTGGTCGCAGTTCCTGGCCAATGGGAGCTGCGGGGGCAGCTTGCAGAGCCCCCTGGCTGCCCCTACGTGTAGGAGCCGGAGGGGGGACATGCCGCTGCTTCCGGGACCCGTGCGGAGCAGGGCAAGCCCCTGACCCCGCTCCCTGGCTGCAGCGTGGGAGCAGGGCAAGCCCCAGACCCCACTCCCCGGCGGGAGCTTGGGGGCCGGATTAAAACATCTGCAGGGCCGGATGCAGCCCTCGGGCCGTAGTTTGCCCATCCCTGATCCAGACCAAGTCTGAACATCATAAATGAAGGGGAGGATTCAGTCATGTCCCTTAGATTATTTTCCATATTCCAATTTATGTTATTTTTAGGAAATTTCTTCTACCTAACCTATTAAAAGTATTTCTGGAGTTCCCTTCTGTATAGTTTCTAAATTATATATGCTCCTGGTGTCCAGCTAGAATTTTCCCACTATCAATATCATACTATATTTTTTTCCAATTCTCCCCAAAACAACTCTTCCATTTCTTTGATTTTGATTCCTTTGAACTATTTGTAGAGGATTGTCATAGGCATCTTTTAGCCAAGTATTATTATTTTGAATAAATAGTGTTTTACCAGCTCCTTGATACTGTTCTTCAACATGATGCCCCATGACTTCAAATTATTTTACTAGGAAGGTTGCTTAAGAGTTGATGTGCTGCAAGTCCCATGACACAGGGGAATTAAATTTTCCTTGTAGTTGTTGTGGAAAATTGACCACACGGTTGATTTTGATCAGACAGCCTGAGGCTCCTTTATTGATCAATCAAACATGCATGCATGGGGGAGTCAGCCAAGGCAGCCGAACCCCCCCGACAGATAAAATGCGAGAGCTTATATAGGATAAAACCACAAAAATTACATATGCTTCCTTAAAATTTTACATCCATATAAGGAATAAAGCAAAGCAAGCCTTTTCTGTTTTACCTTACTTTTGCCCTTTGCAGTTTCTTGCTCTGTCACCTGGCAGCTATCAATCATAAGTTATTGCAAATGGTTAGTTCTGCTTTTATAGTTTCTACAGTTAGTTCTGCTTTCATGCTTTTTTTTCCCTCTTTTTTTTCCCCCCCCCCCCCCCCCCCTTTTCTGCGTTCAGGCCATACTATACAGACTGCTTAACCAAAGTTTAGGCCCTGACCATTTTCCCCCCACATAGTTAAGACCCTACCTGAATCACGGGATGATTGTCAAATAATTGTGGCTGGAAAATAGCAGAAAAGTAATAATTGACCTTTATTAATAGCCATAATTTGGAAAAGCAGAGTAAAGGTATTTGTTTAAGAAAAATTTGCTGGAACAATATTATGTTATGCCTGCTAATTTTTTTGATAACCAGACATTTTGCTGCAACTATATTACATTCCCTTAAAAAAAAGTGACCGGTACAATATAAAATTCAGAAGGCTAAAAGTCCTAACACAACTACTGTAGAAATCGAGTTAAGTCATTTTAGCCTTTTACATTTTACAGGCATTGAATGTTAGTGCGGTACTAATTGCATACTCAGAATGTATGTAAAACTGTGGACTGCACAAAGTAAGCTAATTAAAATCAAAATTGTGGGGGAAGCCTAGTATTGCATGATCCACAATTTCTGCAATATCACAAATGAAGTAGGGCTTTACTTTATAGTACAGTGACTCTACCACAAGTGAAATAATATCTAAGGCAATGTCATTTAAACATCCCTACTTCATCCTCAATGGTATATCAATACATCAGTTATAAAAGGGACACAGTTCAGGCTGGCAGACCTGAAATAGAAAATCATTATATTTAAATGGTCTCAAACTATTTAAAAATATTTTGTCCAAGAGTGTTGTAAAAGAGTTAAGTCATAAGTGATGTATTAGCAGAGCTTTTTTCTTGCTTTCCAGTGAACACTCATAGCTGCAAAGATATCAGATGTTCTAATTTACTGTTCTTATTTCTGTAAATGAACAGAATGTCAATCGTATGAAACAAATCTCCTCTGTTACCAATCAAGAGCTGAAGATCATGCAGGAAGACCTCACTTTCAAATCAAATGAAATGCAAAAATCACAGAGCACCGCTAAAAATTTGAGTACAGGTGAGGCATATAATGTATGAATTTGCAAATTCCTTCCTTTTTAAAAATAAAATAACATGAGAGTCATAGAATACACGACAGAGTACAGGGTTGGTGATCTTGCATACCATGTATGCTAAAACACTGTAGCTAGGGCAGAGGTGGGCAAACTACGGCCCGTCAGGGCTTTGGATCTGGCCCATTGGATTGCCACCCCTGTGGCGCCACGGGCCCCGCGCCGCTGCTGGAAGCGGCCGGCACCACGTCCCTGCGGCCCCTGGGGAAGGAGGGACAGAGGGCTCCGTGCGCTGCCCTTGCCTGTGGATACCTCCCCCCGCAGCTCCCATTGGCTGGGAGCGGGGAACCACGGCCAATGGAAGCTTCAGAGGAGGTACCCGCAGGGGAGTGCAGCGCGTGGAGCCCTCTGCCCCCCATCCTCCAGAGACCGCAGGGACGTGGTGCCAGAGCGGCGCGGGGCTAGGGCAGGCAGGGAGCCTGCCCGGGCCCTGGTGTGCGCCGCTGCCACCCTGGAGCTGCTCCAGGGAAGCGGCACCAGGCCAGAGCCCGCACCCCGAACCCGTCGTGGCCCTCGGGCCAAAAAGTTTGCCCACCCCTGAGCTAGGGTGTGAGGCAATGCAAATACTGAGGGATGTATCTTCTTTTGGTGCCTTTATATAACTCCTATTAGTGCTAACACAAATGATTTATAATTCATCATAAGAAGACTATTTCTCGGACTATTAGCAATAACTGATTTTCTTGCTTACTTGGTTTAGGACATATTAAGAGTGCATTTTAATATTGTGTATTGCACTTCCCATTGCATTAGTAGGCGTTTGCTTTATTTATTTATTTTGATTTATTAGCAACTGACTCAAACTCTAGGCTCTTCATAAATTTTAAAATAACATTTAATAGAAAGTAGTAGAGAGCCATGCAGTGGAATAACCATGTATCAGTTTGAAAATGGACCCCATAATGTTGCTTATACTTACGTTTTGTTAGTGCTTTTCTAAGGGTATGTCTATGCAGCAAAGAAAAACCTGCGGCTGGCCTGTGCTAGCCGACTCGGGCTCATGGGGATGTTTCATTGCTGTGTAGACTTCAGGCTTGGGCTGGAACCTGAGCTCTGGGACCCTCATACCCTGCAAGGGTCCTAGAGCCCAGGCTGCAGCCCAAGCACAAAAGTCTACACAGCAATGAAGCAGCCCCATGGACTCGCGGGGCTCAGGCTCTAGCTCAGGGATCGGCAACCTCTGGCCCGGGGCCCGCCAGGGTAAGCACCCTGGCAGGCCGGGCCGGTTTGTTTACCTGCCACATCCGCAGGTTCGGCCGATCGTGGCTCCCACTGGCTGCGGTTCACCGTCCCAGGCCAATGGGGGCGGCGGGACGTGGCGCAGGCCGAGGGATGTGCTGGCTGCTGCTGCCCCCACCCCCATTGGCCTGGAGCAGCGAATCGGCTGAACCTGCGGATGCGGCAGGTAAACAAACCAGCCTAGCCCGCCAGGGGGCTTACCCTGGCGGGCTGCGGGCCAAAGGCTGCCAATTGTTGTCCCACAAACTTACACAGGATCGTTTTAGGGGTCAAGACAAAGATGCCACATTTATTATTAATCTGTAACTATTAGCAAATACCTTAATGCTTATACACATACACTCACACACACACACCAAAATGTTCTGCAGCTGCTGGATAGTTACCGGTCCTGATTGTAGTTTGAGTTCACAGCTTGGGATCGGAGCTCGTGGCAGCTAACTGGCCAGGAAAGCTGAGCACGAGGAGGAGCCGGGTCTCTGTCGGGCGCGCACCGATGCTCCTTGATGTTGATAGCAGAACGTTACCCAAAGTCTCTCCTCTCACCCTTCCTTTTTTATAGGCTTTTAGTTTGGATTCAAAGTCTCTAGGTCTTGCTGTGTCACGCCGCCTCTGGGTTTGGAGATTGATAACCCGTCAATTGCAGACATGACTTTCAGCCTCGGACCGGGCTTTAATCTTCCTTCTATTGTACCTTTTCTTTTTAGGGTGGATTCTTCTTACTTTGTTAGGGCTCTTGTCTGCATCTTCAGCCGTTGGTGTTTGAACTCTATTTAATCAGGACAGGCTGGGGCTGGAGGTTGATTCCATCATCCATACATACCTCATTCGCACATCTAAACTAAACTAATAAGATTACAGCAGGGTTTGCGAAAATGAAGATTGCAGCAAGCCCTTACAAAATGGAGTAAGCGTTGTAAAATGGGGTTTGAATTACAATATGGCAAACAGTGAACACAAGTTACAATATAGACAATTATAATGGATGGTAAACAGTGAACAGAAGTTACACTGTAGGCAAGTGTAATAAATGGTGAACAGAAGTTACAATACTGAAACAGTGCAAGTCTCAGTGATTTAAGCAGGAATTGGATTGATAGTGAAACTTACAAAGGCAGCTGACTGAACAGCTATGGCTCTTAACAAGCATCTTAATTGTTAATTAGCCAGTTATTGGGGTAACAGGTTTTATGAATGAATGTTGTTTCATTCATAAAACTTTACTTATGAAGTTACATTAATAAAGTAAACAATTAAAAACAATTTCATTCATGAGTCCTACACAATCCCTGCTCTAGCTGCTGTGTAGACATATCCCAAAGAGGATTCCTGGCAGCTATAATGTGGATGGCCCAACCTTGCCTTGTAAATCGTCAAGATCAAATTCTCAGGCATGCACATTCTTAACTTAAAACACAAAAATATTCCTGTTGACATCAGTGGGACTACTCATATGCATAAAGTTAAGACTGCATTCACATTAGATATGTGAGTAAAAGTTTGGGAATCAGGCCTATATTTTCTAAATGCAGAGATTTTTTTTTCTTGTGGTTTAGTGATAGAGATCTCTATTTAATTCTTTATTTGTGCTGTTTATGGTGTTGTTATTGTCATAATCTAAACCTTTGCCAGTATCATTACTGATTGAGCAAAGTTTTCCTTGTTTGCTTACTGAAAGGAAGCTGCAATAATCATAAATCATTTTGTTTGGTGACTACCACAGCCTGTACTTGCTACCAGTTTTCAAAATAGGCTTCTGTGTTGTGACTGCAAAATATGTATCTGCAAAGAAGTAATTGCTGTGCACAAAATATGATGTTAATTGCTTGTTTTCCATGTGCCTCTGGATATTTTGTAACAAATTTATTTGCAAATACATATTTTGCAGCCACAACATAGGTGTCTATTTTGAAAAATTAACCCTTGCACTATAGGGCAAGATATGAAATATATTTTTCTTATGAGCATTTTAACTAAGCATATTTACTATTTTTATTTTACATTACAGTAATACCCTAACAGTGCTAGATGTTGTAGGGACATTGTATGAAAACAAAGTTTCTTTCTTGAAAAAGTTTAGAGTCTACAATTTAATCAGATAATTTAAACTATTTATAAAGAAAATTCCTGGAACTGGGAACCACAATAAAGGTTCCATAATAAACATAATAGGGGCTCTTTTAAAGTAAAATGATTGTACAATTCCCCCCCAGTTGGAGTGCTTCCCAAACCTTGAATTATAGTACAGTAATCTGCAAAATTCTTCCATTGGTATTAAAATGTGGATTTCCAGATTTTCTTGCCACCTCAAAGATATAAAAGGCCATCAGCAGAGTCCTTTTTTAAAAAACAAAAAAGGAAACTACAGAGAGTAAACAAATGTGCTGATGGCATAGTTTCCCAGAAACATTTTCCTGGGTCAAAGCAGTTTGGTCTCAGACTTTGCTACTGTGTACACACTGCCTGCTAAACTCTGCAACTTAATGGCATATCAGAAGGAACTGGGCTGCATCCTCTTCCTGTCTTTTCCCCTAGAGAAGTTTTTAGTTTCTTTTATATATATTTTATATATATATGAGCATAAATTTTACCTTCTCCAAACAGCTTCTTCCTTTTTCTCTAGAAAGTGTGCTTGGATAGGAATATTCCTTAGCTGTCTACTCCAGCATTATCAGCATACTGATATTGCATTACAGGAAGCTTTTTCTAACATTTTTAGGATTTTTTGATTACTTTTATCCACCAAAAATGAATTTTAGTTGGTCCTGTATCTGTTTTATTTTTAATTAAAAGCAAAAAATCTTACATATGCATTTCAATTTTGAGAAAATGCAAAACTACTTCTACAGATATTTTCATCTAATTATTGTAAGCAGTTCACATTTTAAAGGTTTTTTATCATCATTTATAGCATTTAGTGCTAAGTATGTGATTAAGCAAGTTCCCAATCTACCTTCTCTACACCATTCATTATTTTGTATACCATTGTCATGTCCTCTCTTATTCATCTCCTCTCTAAAGTAAACAGTCCCTTACATCTCTCTTCATTTAAGACTTTTTCCATGGCTTTGATCCTTCTGATCATCCACATTTGAATCCCCTCTAATTCTGTTTTATCATTTTTGAGGTGTGGTGATCAGAACTGAACACAGTATTCCAGTGCATTATGATCTTTTCAGTTGTGACATATACCAATTCTTATTAATCTAAGGCTTTGGAATGGTTCCTCATTTATAAAGCCAGTGTCCAGGGCAAATTTAACCCTAAATTTAGTAGTATAAAAACAAGACTCTTTTAAAAATGAAAACAGAAATATTTATATGATTTAAAAAATTGAATGGAAACAGTTTAAAAATAAACAGATAGGCACCTGTATAGTTTGCAACCAAAATTTTGTACTAATGTGCTGGTACAGTAAAACCTGAAATTGACAAGGAAGTAAATATTAACAAAAGCAGAATGGAATTACCACCCTGTAGTATCTCAGATCACCACTGCGTTTCCTTAGACTTAGACTCTCTAGTCTTCAGTGTCTGTAATAATTGTATAATATCTTTTGACAAATGGCACTGTACGTTGGGCCAAATCCTGCTTACTTTATTCTCATGAATAGTCCCAGGGGTGTCAATGTGAATAAGGCAAGCAGGATTTGGCTGGTGCACTGTGTAGTGGAAAATTGGGAGTTAAATCTTTGAACATTGGCTAATACTATCATGAAGAAAAGTTACTGTTGCTTATAACATTTGTTCCTTGTGTTCCAGATAGTCAAAGACTGCGAATGGACCTGCAGAAAATGGAATTGTTGGAGGGTAAGATGGTCGATGAACAGGCTTCTCTCAAAGAAAAAATCGAACAGATGACAAAGGACTTGAAGATGTACAATAATTTGCCAGCTCTGAAAGCATCAGGAGAAGAGAAGAAAAGGGTAATAACAGCAGTATCTGTTAGCACTACCTAGATAGGGACAGTACTTGGTCCTGCTGTGAAGGCAGGGGACTGGACTTGATGACCTTTCAATGTCCCTTCCAGTTCTATGAGATAGGTATATCTCCATATAATACTTACATTATAAGTTCTTTGGGCAGAGAACACCTTTCTGTTCCGTGTTTGTACGGCACCTAGCACAATGGGACCCTAGGTCATGCCTGAGGCTCAATACAATACAAATAACAACAACAACATTGCCTGTGTTCAGAGCTCAGCCATTAATATTCTGAGACTGTATTTGTCATGCTATGTTCAGACAGAGTCTGATTTATATCTTTGTTTTCAAAACAATGTTGGGAAGTAATTTGTTTGAAGGCTTGAAGCAAATGACACCAAATTCACCTCCATTATATTTGACATAGTAATAACAATAACAACACCTAGCTCTTATGTAGCTCTTTTCATCAATAGATCTCCAATTGCTTTACCAAAGAGGTTAGTATCGTTATCCCCAATTTACAGATGGGGAAATTGTGGCACAGAGAGTTGAAGTGACTAGTCCAAACTCACTGAACAGGCCATTGGCAGAATCAAGCCTAGAGCCCAGGTCTCCTGAGCGTCAGGGCTCTGTCCAGTCTCATTGCATGCTATCATGACACGAAAGAGACTGTGGACACTTGTGCCTCATTTCACATCACCAAGTGTGCATTTTAACAGCTACATCTTGTGCACAGGTATTAAATGCAACTTCTCATGCTAAGTGTTGGTGTCGTTTTTGTGATATTTGTAGAACACGTTCTGAATTCTTTCTGTATACCTTCTTGTTTAGGGGGTGGAAAAAGAAAGTAGCTCTTGGAAAGTTAAATTGAAAACAATTGAACAGTTGGGACCACCAGTCCATAGTAAATTTGAATGGATTCCTGTGGGAAAGTAGGAGATCACTGTGGTGATGAGTATATTAGAAATTCTTAGATTCAAAGGAATTGGCAGGTTTAATGGAAGCACAGTACCTTAAGGCCAGTTTGATCCATTTTGCTTTTCTTCCTCTAGAAACTCCATGAGGAGAAAGAAAGGTTGATAAAACGTAGAGATGCCTTCAAGAAAATAATGGAACAACTGAACGCAGAGTATGAAACACTAAAGACACAACTTGAGGAAAATGAGACACATTCCCAGGTATAGTTCAAAATAGATGTTTCTTCGATTGTTTCATTCCAGGTCTTGTGTTTCTCAAATACATGAAACTATATTTAAATGAATCAGTTAGGGTTTTTTAGAGGAATGCATAGACTCTGGAGTAAGTTTTCAAAGCTGTATATCGGAATTCCATGCCCAAATCCTCTAGTTTGTTCAACTGAATGTTAACAAACCCCCCTTCCCTGATCAATGTATTGAAAGCCAACGATTTCAACTGTTGAGACCAGTCTTATGTCAAAAATTTGCAAGTCCCTTGTTAAATACTCATTTTAGTTTTGTTCAAAGTCCTCATTTTTCCTCTCCAGCCGTGCTGGTGCTGCTGCAGGAGCTCAGGGTCAGGCTTGACTTTTCTCAGGGCTGACTGGCTGGTGCAAAGAGGCCATGGCAATATGTTTTCTCCAGCCTATAAAATACTGAGCAATTTGGAGAGGGGCGATAAAAGTTCTTATAAGGGGCATCGTCCCCTATTTAGCGTATAGAAAATACCAAACTTTTGGAACAATTTATTGCACTCCAAAGGCAAAAACACTAAATCACACTTAAGAAATGTTTTTAGGATCCTAGGATAAACACTGTAATTGTTTAGCAGTACCAAGGATGAACCCCATCAGACATCATGGGACACGCTGTTTCTGAGAGCAAGTATCCTAGGAGCATTCAAGCCTAGGGAGAGGGCAAAGGCTCAGTTTTATGTAGTATCTTTTAGTTAATAAAAATAGACTCCAGGAAGGATGAATTTTTGATTTTGTAATGAGTACGTAGCTTGTGTTTGGACCTGAATTGAAACTCCACCAGTTTATGCCTTTCTTTAGTAAAATCCCTCTTACGACCAACTACTCCTGTGTAGTCTTTCATTGATAAACCACCAGAGAAAGAAGCATGTACTTCATACTATAATACAACTGTACTTTGGACAGTCTAGACCGTCATCCAGTCATCTTTTGCATTTATGTATTTGTACTGTGTGGGCTGCCTAATTAGAATGTAAGCTCTTGGGGCAGAGAACATGTTTGCTATGTGTTGTATGTTGGCAACATTTAAAATGTGCTGATAATCAGAAACATAATTATGTTAAAAAAAAAAAAGGACCTTTTTACTCAATAGATGTTCTCCTCACCTGTAGTCAGACTCACAATTTGTTATTTCTTTTTTCTTCTGTGAGCATTGTAGAGCCAACACAGATACGGCAGAATGATCTAAATTCCTCTCCACCTGCATTCCAAAGAGAAATTTTTATTTGGCACAAATATTGGGTCAAATCCTATGGTTCTTACTCAGATTATAGTCTTGCCCAATTAAAGATTTTAGGATTAAAAATATTGTAATTAAACCAAATTTGAACCCAGGATTATAAACACAAAAAAAGTAGTGCATTAGAATAGTTTGCATTTCTTAAATTTTCTCATCTTTTTCTTTTTGGAGTGTGTTCTTGTATTATTTGGCTTGACCTGCCTTTTCAGAGGAATCTGAAGAATAGAGACATACAATGTTAGTTTATTTAAAGTCCTGTGATTCTTCTGACCTGTATTTCAGTGCAATATTGTATCTGTAGCTATCTAGTTGATTTAAAGCCTAATAAACAGGCATAACATTATCACTAGAGGGTCGTTCCCATTTAATAGCTGTATCCTAGGCTGAATGAGCTCAAATGTTGAGAATAGAATAAGGTTATTACTATGTTCAGAAGGACCTTTTAAACAATCATCAGCATAACCATTCAGAATTTTTTTTATGAAACATTGTTTTTTAAATGAAAGTGGAGAAACTACAGAAACCAAACTGGCAAAAGGTAATTTTTTGCTTTTAAATGCAGTTTATAAGCCCTTCCTTCCCCTCCTCCCCTAACACTTTTCTTTCTCTTTTTGCTTTTCATTCCCCTTCCTACAGGCCAGCAAGGCTTCTTTCCCCCACAATAACTTTCATATACATTTTTATTTACACTGTGTTTCAAAAGTGAATCAGGAGGGAAGAGGCTTTTAAACTCTCCACCACCTTGCAGTCTTCCAATATACATATTATATACAAATAGATTACTATCATTTTGGCAACAAGAGCTTTACCGACTGTAGAGATGGGAGGAAGGAGGAAAACAGATTGGCTTTAAGAAAAAGAGAGAAAGACAGAGAGAGGATGGGAACTGATTTCTCTTCCAGCCACATTCTTATTGTGTTTTGGGGTTGTTGGTTTTTTTTTTTTTTCCACTTTCATGTAAATTTTGGATTTTTTTCTACTTCAGCTTCAGGGAGTAAGAAGCTGACGTGTCATCTTTATTGTTGGGAAACAATTTAAATTCTGAATACATGAACTAATCAGAACAGAGATGGTTGAATATATAAAGTAGAAATAACCAGTGATTATGCAAATCTACAAACTCTGTGTAGTGTCTGCCAACTAGTCAGAGCACTGGGCAGTATTCAAACTGAGCCACTTTAATAGGACTACTCCTGGGTGCTGTTGAGTAAGGCTATCAGATCTTGTCCATATTGATTATGTAATTTGCCCACTGACAGCCAGTCAGGGTTCAGACAGCTGTTTAACTGGGATAAAAATGTGCAGCCATCAGTAACTGTACAGCATCCCTTCACTTTGATTAGCTGCAACTCTTCTGTTTCAGCATTGTATATAAGAATGCGTATGTTCTCTTCCATAAATAAGAATTTCTCCTTCAACGTAATTATCATATTCTAAAAAGAACTTAGCTTGAAGGAAAGTAAGATCCCAAGATGACTGATTAGCCATTTTGCCAGTCTGCATAGCTATTGATGTACAGCGTACATCCTTTTTATATATCAATCATATGGAAATGTAGACAGGCTTTATATGATTTGAGAGTTTACCCTTGATAAGGTGGCCTTAAAAGTATTTTACTATGTAGAGTGCATCATACAAGAAGCTATATAAAAAAGTGCTGATCATTTTCTTCAATCTCTATTATAATTAGATTATATTATATACAATATTTCAAATTCAGTTGCCTTTACTATGTATATTGCATTTGGCAGCACCCATAGTGGATGTAGTATGTAATTGATCACAAATATCTTGTTTTATAACTTACACAAACAGCAGAATTCATGTTTGCTTTGAACTAGGGATAAAAAAAAAGGATGGGGGTATATGGACAGATTTTCATTATAAAGATAATTTTGGTACAGGGTAGGGAAAGCTGTAACACAGCATCTATTCTCAATCATTCAGCTTAAGAACTGATTTTCATCCTCAAACGTATCAATATTGGTGGCTTTCCTTTAACATTTGGTTTTAGAATGATGATTTTCAACCTTTATTTTTAAAAATACCTTTAAAGGGGTCTACATACCTTGAAATAAAAAACCTTGAATAGTAGCATCAGAAAAACAATTTAATATTATAAAATGTATTGTGAGAAATATAATATAATATCCACATTAGCTTCCTGTTGATGCTGAAAGAATTGAAGAAGTGCCAACATATAACCCACAGTCTTACAATCTTCTCACTACAGCTCTGCTCTTATCACAGCTTCTGGCATCAGACAGGAAATTCAGCTATGGAAATAAGGAAGTTTTTTCTGTACTGCTGTTGGGTCCAAGACAGTGCCAGGATATATTGTATCAGTGGTGATTTTGCAAACAGATCATCTTTCAGTGATATGAAAAGATAAGAATTTATATCTTCCTCCCATGTTCATCTTTTCTGTGATGCTGTTATGATTGTTCAGAGATGACAGAAATCTCAAATAATCATCCAGTTTTTCATGTTCCATACCAGTTATATTCAGTATTTTCATTTTTGTGCAAACAGCAGAGCAGTAGCTATGTGAGGGCTACATTTACATACATATATATTATGGGATATTTGAAAAATCCTTCCCAATTGTTTATCTTCTAGTTTTCTTGTGTTGTAACCATGGTCTTACAGTTTTGATAGAATGTGAGGTATCAATAAGACAAGTTGGGGGGCTTTATTCGTATAAATGGTTGTGCGTCTGTTTTCATTTGTGGCGGTTCTTAACATTTTCTTTTTGTGTTTTCAGCTTACAAATTTGGAAAGGAAGTGGCAGCACCACGAGCAAAATAACTTTGTGATGAAAGAATGTATCCTTTTTTTAAAAAAATGCTGACAATTAATACAGTATAGTAATTGACTGAGAAAGCCTTTTCCTCCCAAAAGCAAAGTCAATCAGGACAGTTTTACAGCAGGGTGAAGAAGGGGGATAAAGGGTCTTGCAAATGTTTGTTTGATGGATAGACCTTTATATACAATGAAACCTGAAACTCATTAGGCAACCTCCAGCATTAAATGACTCCTTATAGTATTCCAAGCTTCCAGTATTTTTATTTGATCACTAAAAGACCAGCTGTACACTGCATATGCTTTCTCCTATGCTCTGGCGTTTATCACCCATTGGTTTTCTTCAGTGATTATTCTTACGCCAGCCGATCCTTATACTTAGCTTTCCAGCAAAGGCAATGATTTTTTTAAATGTACATAGCTCCATAACTATGCATGACATTTTACAGGATGTAAAATACAGCAAACAAAACCCACAAAGGGCCAAATACTGCTTTCAGGTGTTTTTTCTCATTAAATGCAATGAGAGTTGCTTATGTGACAGCAGAATTAGACCCACACATATTGAGATAAAACTTTCCAAAAGCTAGTGGTAATGACACGTTCAAAGAACATTCATTGCAAAGGACTGCCATAAAATAGTTTTAAATGGGTTTTTAAACTAACAGAAGCATAGCCATTCTAAATGAGAGCTGACATTTTGTCCTTAACTTGCACTACTGTCCCTAGTTATTGCAGAGATATGAATAGTGCATAATCGTATATTAATTTTATTATCCAGGGACTAAAAAGTTACTAAAGTAAACTCCCTTCTTACAAAATGACCTAAAAACAGTAGCACTGAAGAATTAGAGACACAGTGAGATCACTGTTATACCATTACAGCTCAAAATATTGTAGGTACATAGAAACTTCAATACCCGATCAGACCAGTGGTCTAGTCCATTGTCCTGTCTCAGATGGTGGACAATACTAGATGTTTCAGAAGAAAGTACGAGAAAACCTGTAATGGACAATTATGTAATAACCTGCCCACAGGAGAAATTCCTCCCTAACCCATGTCAGTTAGGACATGTCTACACTAGAAATGCTACAGCTGAGGCTGCGCTGCTGTAGCACTGTACTGTAGACACTTAATACTACAGCGATGGAAGGGGGTTTTCCATTGTTGTCGTAAATTCACCTCTCTGAGAGGTGGTAGTAGCTCCACAAAGAATTCTTCTGTCGACCTAATGGTGTCTACACTTAGGCTGGCTTAATTACATTGCACAAGGCATGACATTTTTCACAGTCCTGAACAACATAGTTAATTTAAGTCAACCTAACTTTGTAGAGTAGACCAGTTCTTTGTAGTTGACTTATGCCCCATTGCATGAAAGTTTATATTCCATTTAAAAAAAAATTATCCTATCTATTGTAATAGTTCTCTTTAGTCAGCTCAGTGTCTAGTCCTTTTATTTAAATCCTCCTCCTTGATCACAATTATACTTGGGGGCAATGAATTCCACAAACTGATGGTCGTGTTTTATTTTTTTAAAAGTCCTTGCTATCAGTTTCAAATTATTGTGCGGAGAAAAATTGTGATTACCATTAAACTCAATTATTTTTTTAAAACCTGACATGCAGTAAAATATGATACCTCAGTGAACCATGTGCTTGCTTTCTGTGCTTGAATACACTCGATGAAGGATTAGTTTAAAATAAAATCTGATTCTCTTTCATATACAAGATCTATTACCTCTGCAGATGCCTACTGTGAGATTCAGTACCCTACCACGTGGCAATGGGTCCTATTTTTGTTTGCCCCTGTGCTTCCTGTTATTCTTAGGAGTAGAATCAGGTATAACCAAGAAACCCCCAAACTCATAGAGGAGTGTCTGCTCTGCTCCTGGGCAAAGGATCTTATGACCTCCCGTACTGGCAGGTGAGAGAACTTCTGCTGGTGGGCTTAGACCCAGAAGAGCCTCCCAGCACCACATGACTGGTCATTCCCTGATCAGATCCTGGGACTTCTTTGGCTAAGATCCAGAAGAGCCTCCTGGCATTACATGATTGGGTTTGGGATCCTTTCCTCCACAGGGATATTTTGTCAAGACAAGAAATCTTAGACCCTGACATCTTTAACCATCTGCCATGGAAGAAAGAAGCTAACTATCAGGAAAAGTCCAAACACAAAATTTAAAAAAAAAACCACCCAAACCTCTAACTATAACCTTACGCTAGAAACTACTTCTAAGTCAGACAGTATACCAAGTGTCCAAGCACAGATCCCAAAACAAAGAGGGGTTGAGTTTCACGTCTGCTTGGCCTGGCAGAAAGAGAAGGAACAGTTGTCAGGATAGGGGCTTTTATATCCTTGGTTCTAGAATGCTGGAACGCGGGGACATGCACACCCTCCCACAACAGGTAACTCCTTTGAAACGGATTCATTCGCCATGTGGCAGTGAGTACGGTCTCCCAACGTGGACCTGCAGAAGCAATACATATAGAGAACAAAAGATACATCAGTAACTTTTCCAGCACATTTTGGATTTGTCTAAACAGTGCTCAAAAAGCTATGTAGATGTCCAGGATGGAGGGAGATGGGCTTCAGAGCCTGAGCTTCAACCTGAGCTGCAATATCTACACAGCTGTTTTTAGCACCATAGCATGAGCCCAAGTCTGTTGGCCTAGCCTCTGAGACTTGCTGCCGCTCACTGTGTAGATGCACCCTAAGTGGGTTGTGTGGACCCCGCTGGCATACACTGAAAGTTCCCTAGTGCGCATTAATGAAGTTCTGTTTGGAACACTAGAGCCTAGAGGCTGCTGCTCACTGTGTAATGTACGCTTAATGCTCAATACACTAGTGGGCACTAGAATTTATACTCCTCTGGCATGGGCCAACACACCTCATAGACAAGCCCTTAGTGTAATACAATGGCTAACCTGTTAAAGTGGTGTAGTTCTTTAGATACAATTAGTGCTTTTCCATTATCTGCAAGCCTTTACAATTTTTCTAGAAGGAGACTTCTTGTAGTATAATTCCCTTATGATCTCTAATTAGGTTAGTATTTTTCTTGCCAGTTACTGTCCTTAACTCTTTTAATCAGTCATAGCAACAAAAAGTCAGGAGAGTGACTACCAGCCAGTAATGAAGAATGTGAGTAAGCAGATTGCAGAGTATAACAAAACTCTCATAGAAGCTTTACAGAACACCAGGAACTGAACCCAGGCGCTTCCTTCCTGCTCCAGTGGACCAACAATAGGAGATGTCCACAAGCACTGTAGGACTCTGAACTGCTGAGCTGAAAACTCAACAGCAGCACAGTAGGTGCATTCAAAAAATGCCTTCAAGTTCCTGAGAGATTCGTGGTTTCAGCAGTTTTCTTCATTTTAAATATAAGGACTATCTCTGAAAGCTTTAAAGCCAGAGAAGACATTTAAAGTGAGCCCACTGGATACACACTCTGGATATGAAAATATAGTTAACTATTTGGGGCCCAACCCTGCAATCCTTACTCAAGCAAAACCATTGGGGATCAGTACTGTAATCCTTACTCAGGCAAACCACACATAGAAGAGAATGGGAACTTTGCCTCAGTCAGGACTCAACATCTGGCCCTTTGTTGTTGGTAAACAATTGTCTTAAACCTTATTAAGATAGCAAACCAGATCCTCAGCTGGTGTGAATCAGCATAGCTCTCTCATACCAGCAGAGGATACAGCCCCATCTCCCTTCTGATCAGAAGCTCTTTATATATAAACGTTCACAGAGGGAAACAAAATGTAGGACTAATGCATTTTAAGGCTCTTTCATTGTATTTTCATTTCTGTAAAGGACAATATAATAATTACTGGAGCATCTCATTATTAAATGTGATATTTGGTAAGGTTATTATATAAGGAGAAATGTATAGTGGAGATTCTAATAAAAACTTAGCTAAGGAAAGTTTTTTTTTCTCCATGCTGACTTTGTGTAGTTTTATGTTTTTCACCAATAAAGAAATTAAAAACAAAAGTTATTCATAATTCTTCTTTTTTTGAGGATATCGTCTTGTAGGATTCTCTGTCTCAGGTTTCATGCCCCCGTGTCACGTCACAGCAACAAGCAGCTCTAATGTGATCAGAAGAATGTGTGAAATAGAGAATTCTACGTAGCTAGATCTGTCAGTACTTTTTGAATCCTGTTTTTACTGTTAAATTATTTATTCTGTATGGTTGGGACCAAAGGCATTCCAGGATCCCTTAAAATAACAGCAAAATTGCTGTTGTTACTTCCCCTTAGTTATTTTCTTCCTTTCCTACCTACAGTGTAATTATCTACTTCCTATTACCTTTCCTCCACCTGGGAGGTCAAGTTAGTAATGCCGTTTCCTGACCAGCCAAAAGCAGGTACTGTAGCCTGCAGACAGCTAAATGTAGACAGGGCTCCCAGCCAGACTCGGCTGATATTTTATCAAAAACAGCAGAGGCGGGGTTGGTAGTTATTCTACTATCACAAAATAGTCTTACAAAGGAAGAGATAAAGACCCTGTCACTTGCACCTTATAAAACTAGCCTGGACAGAGAATTAGGAAATATGCCAGGGGCATGGCATGACCTAATTAGGTCTTTTCCATTTCTTAATGTCTCTGAATCTGTGACTAAGCATGTTATCTAGCATGAAGGAAAGTTACATGAAAAGATTCTTGGAAGGACCATGGTTTCCAAACTCAGCTCAGTAAATCCTCCCACTCTCTGTATTTATTATATATAATATTTAGACAACATGACGGAACAGGATTTCTATAAACCAAAATCTGTTATCTAGGGGAAATTTCCACTAATGTCTCTTCCTTCCTCTCAGAGTTTCAGCTATTCCAGTGAGAGTCCATTATTTGCTGAGATAAAGTTGGAGTCAAATATCCTCCCAGGTCAGATCTTCCTTAGCCAGTCACATTGCCTGCTGAATTCCTCTCAGGCTACAACACATTTTAATTAACAATGGAAAGAAGCCACAAACGGAATAAACATACGCCCTGAAATTCCCTTTCACTCTGTGCCCGGGGATCCTTGTTATACCATGGCACTTATTTTGTTAAATAGGGTGGGAAAGTTCCCAGGCCTTTGTTTTGTCCTTCACATGACTTCTATCAAAAACAAACACTGGCTCTAGCACTATATTCTTACTTTGTTTTCCATGAAGCTCTTCTGATTACTTGTCATCTCCTGAGGACCTCCCCTTCATACCTTCTTTTAACACTTTATCCTCAAGGCCCTGGCCTCCTTATTTTTGGCATATTGCTTCCATAACTAACCCCTGATGACTGAAGAAGAAAAGAATTGAACCTGTTGGCTCCCGCATGCAGGGGCAGAGCACTAACCATTAGGTCACGACTTCTCAATTCTTTTTATTTTTCCCAAGTGAGATTTTTAGATAAAGTATCAAATGCAGAAGCAGTGAGCAAACAGCACACCAAAACAATCCCGTTTAAACCATCAACATGTAATTTCAGCAGGACAGGGCTCTCACTGGGCCTGTCCGGAAAGGTCTGGTACTAAATTCAAATCTACCTTCATGCATGGCTTTCACAGTGAGAGCACATTAGGAAGCAGCAGATAACCAGGCAATGGAATTGACATTTTAAACCTTTTCTGCTTTTCCAAAAGACAGGCCATTACATTCTGGAGAAGTATGGGTATCTCAGATGTAAAAATACCGGCTGCTCAAAGGCAACATGGGCTTTGAAGATTTCACCATTGCTGTGGTACTATAGCTGTGATTCTGGCCTGTTCCCCTCCTGATTGACGCTGCTTAGCAGTGAAGCTGATGGTCCTCCCTTTGGCAACAATTCTGTGCCTGTACCATGCATAGAAATGGGTCCAGAAGGTCTTGCCCTGTTCATTCCTCAGTGTCTGTCCAATGCTGCATGCCCCTTGGTCTTGGGCTGTAATACTGTCTCCAGGGAAGCAATATTTCTGCTGCTGGAGTAAGGTCTTATTGGCCTGCTCCCCCTCGCTGCTGCTCATGGTGAGCACATGGTTTTGTTTTAAATCATCTATTTTCTCTCCTGGCTCTCCCAAGCTCAGGAAGACAATACAGGTTGGCCTGATGAGCACTACCAACATAAACATGTAATCTTGGGAGACCAAATACATCTGCACAAAACAAGTTCCTCTCTGAACGTTCCTGCAAACAAAAACTGCTCATACAAATGTTTGCAGAGCAGTGAACAAAAAAGGGTGCAAACAGGGCTGAATCAAAATGCATGCTAAAAGTTGCACATTGTTCAGGAATATATTTTCCTCCCTACTTACCCAATCTGTCTGGATTTGGACGAGTGGCAAAGACATAAAAGGCCCCATACTGTTACCCATCTGCCCCAACAGGATGCTATCTTTGTGTGAGTCTTTTGTTTAGTTCTAGTCACATGTAACAATCATTCTGGTCAGAATACGGATTCCTTCTCATTTCTCCCTATTCTACCTGCCAGTGATTATTAAACAATCTAATAGCTTCTCAACTCATGTTTTTTAATGTTGGCATGCTTTGTTTTAAGGTCAATGAGATGGTTAATTTCTAGGGTAAAATCCCTTTTAATAAACTTCTGTGGTAAGATGCCTAAGAATAAAAAGTCCAAGTAATTAGATCTTAATTTTAAGAGAGGTCTAGATGAGGGAGACGGAGAAAGAAAAATAATCTCTTAGGGTATGTCTATACTTACCTCCGGGTTCGGCGGTAAGCAATCGATCTGGGATCGATTTATCGCGTCTTGTCTAGACGCGATAAATCGATCCCGGAAGTGCTCGCCGTTGACACCGGTACTCCTGCTCCGCGAGAGGAGTACGCAGAGTCGACGGGGGAACCTGCCTGCCGCGTGTGGACCCGCGGTAAGTACCTTGTAGTTCGAACTAAGATACTTCGACTTCAGCTACGTTATTCACGTAGCTGAAGTTGCATATCTTAGTTCAAACTGGGGGGTTAGTGTGGACCAGCCCTTAGTAGTTCATGTGGGGAGGACATCAAGGTGGCCACTTTAAAACAACAAACTAGCAACAACAACAACAACAAAACCACACACACATAATTGGAAATCCCTTTGTAAGAATCTGCTGTGAGTGGATTCCTTGGAAATATGTCTGCTTCTCGCTGATAAGCTATCAGTAGGAGGGTGGATGTTGCAATGGGTAGAAAAAGTTGGATTCAGAAATCAACAAATCAGAATGGACTTAATACAATACAGTCCAAAGACGATACTAGCCTTCTGCAGGCACTTCTCCCTAGATACAGAGATGTACGTTCTCTGAAATAGCTTCCTTTCTCTTTCTTTCCCCATTTGGGTTTGTATGTGGATTTGGGACTTATGAAAGGACTGCCCTGGAGACAAGTGCTGTGTTATCCAGAGAACAGGTGCAGTGACAGGTGTACAAGGTACTCAGCACAGTGCCAGATCAGGCCTTCAATGAGTAGTGTTATGTCAACACCTGTTCATATGAAGGTTGTATTAACACACGTCATGAAAGATTAAGTTGTTCACTGATTTTAAACTAATTTTACAGCCTCACTTTACACACACAGGTATGGTGCTTGCTGGTTAATAAATTAGACACAAATTACATGTAAATCAATAGCAATCCCCAGTAGAGCCCGGTTTACAATTTTCATGTTTAGAAATTTTGTCAATATTTTGAAATTAAAAATTTCAAAGGAATTGTGGGGAAAAATGTGATCCCTCCCTCCCAATCCCTTTTATCAGCCAGACCTAATGATCTGTTTAACACAGGGTATGTTGTTAGTGCAGAGTTAACTTGCTCTCTTACCCCTAATCCCCTCCTTCTGTCCACACACAAAAGCTGCTCACCCAAGTTTGGTAGTGCTTGCTACCCAAGCTAGCTAGCCTGAATGGGGGTTATAGGTTAATACGTAGGTGCTGCCTTCATTCGGGCTGGTAACCTGCCCACTTTGGAATGAGGACACAGGTCAAATAACTCTAGTGCTGATAGTCCTCCAGCGCCTTCCCACAATTCTCCCATGGGCCCAGAAGGACAGACAAGTTCTCCCAAAATACAATAGAAAGTCATAGAGCAGCTCACCTTACTGTGGCACAAAGAGCCATGGGACATAGCCCCAGAAGTCCTACCGACCCACATGGAGAAGTGCGGCAACAACAGTGAGGACTTGGCAGTTCAGGTAAGTCTTTGCAGTTTGGTTGCTCACGCTCAGGCTAAACTAACTCGGGTGCCAGT